AACGCACGCTGCACGCTACTTGTTCTCATATATTTTGGGAGGAATCGAAAGTTCGTCTGCTAACCACGAACATTTTTTGCTCAAAAGGCATTAAGAGCCGCTATCTGTCCTTCTAATAAACCTTTCTGCGCGTTAGAGCGCAGCAAAGTAATGTCGGTAAAACGTCGATTTGTTCACGTACAGCAATGCTATAGGATGGACCTCAGACGTGCAAACCAACGGTACAGATGCAACCGCGCGCGCTTCAGTGTGGCTCATAAGGCCCAACGCTCCGTCATTCATTCCGTGGATACACACACGGGTTTATATATCTTGGGAAATATAGCGAAAATATGTCAGCTGGTTCACGTTGGTTGACCGAACAGGATATTATTAACCTTTAATACGTAGATATTGTCAGGCGATCGTGGCAACCTCGGGTAGAAATTATATAGCTGTGCTATGACAGCCCTAGCCAGCCACCACATCTCTCCACTGTCTTCATTGTCTCATCGCCTTTACTATATGGGATATATTCTGCTGGGAACGTCTCCAGTAATATTATACTTTGTGCTTGACCTAATTCCTATGATTAAGGTAAATATGTCAGTGGTTGCTCCGACTAGACCTACGCCGGACCCACCACCACCACCGCCGCCCATTCAATTCACGATCACACAGTAGGTAATCGTAGTGATGAAATGGATAAAAGCGTGTAATATAGATAAGCAATCTGTCAGCTAGTGGACTCTGTCGGATCCTATAATAATGACATCGACTGGTGCATGTCAAAAATATAGCGTGAGACTGCAATACCACATGGTTTAGCTACAATAATTGAAAATGCCACCTATTTAAGGTTTCTCAACACGCATATATAATTCGTGAAACATCACAGAACCCTTGTGCGAGTCAAACTGCGTTCTCGATAGCCTTGAAATGAAACTGTAAAAATGGTTAGCATTGCTGCGTCACAAGAAAAAAAACCCGCAACTCGAACTCGAGAATCGCGTCTATAGGCATTTTGAATAAATAGCGGCCGGCTAGTTGTTATATTACCTATAGGTGAATAAATATTAATATACTTAATCCCAAGCATTATTGCCTTGTGTCACTTGGGCATGTGGTGTGGTGTGGTGTGGTGTGGTGTGGTGTGGTGTGGTGTGGTGTGGTGTGGTGTGGTGTGGTGTGGTGTGGTGTGGTGTGGTGTGGTGTGGTGTGGTGTGGTGTGGTGTGGTGTGGTGTGGTGTGGTGTGTGTGTGTGTGTGTATGTGGGTGTGCGTGCGTGTGTGCGTGCGTGCGTGTGTGTGTATGTATGTGGAGGGGGTACGCGCGTGTGGGGTGTGTACTTTCTTCCGTACCCGCACATAATATGAAGTCCAATTAAAACTCGAGGTTGTGTGCATGAATAGATTTAAGCCATTCTACGTAAGGATGCGTGCCGAACGAAGCATTCCCAAGCGGCGCGATGAATATTATATGTTTTTTTAGGTTTTAGCTATTTTCTGAATTGAGAACGTTACACTGCGCGAGATGTTTTCAGGTTCTCTCACTCACACACTGCTCTTTATCTCACATCGCCTTCTATATCTTTTCTTTTCTTGCCCTGCCTCCTTCTCCTCTTCCTCATTCTCCTCCTCCTCCTCTTCCTCATTCTCCTCCTTCTCCTCTTCCTCATTCTCCCCTCTTCCTCTTCCTCCTCCTCCTCCTCCTCCTCCTCCTCCTCCTCCTCCTCCTTCTCTTCTTCCCCAGGCTCACCAATCTCTCTCTTTCTGTTTTTCCTTTTACTCATGCTAACTCCCATTTTCATTTCGCCGCCTCTCGCCCCTCTTCTCTCCCTCTCTCTCCCTGCCCCTCATCCTGCCCGCGCACTTCTTTTCTTTCTTTATTTCCTCGCTCGCCCTGGCTTTGTGCGTATCTTTAACTTCTTTATCGTGACTTTCCATTTCGAAATAAACCGACCAGTACACGCTGAGTGTCTTCACTGTCGAACCAAGAACATGGGTCTGCTATTGCGCGCCCAGCAAAATGCTTTTCCGATAACGACATGATGTTTGCTCACAACGAAAAATTCTCCGAGGGTTTACGTTATTGCTATTATCCTATACAGAATTTATCCGCAGGCACCTTCGGGCGCAATTTTTTCGAATTAAATTTTACGGAAAGGAAACCGTACTGCGCGCGCTCGGCGGGAAACCGGATTTATCGAGGTTCCATGATTACTACCCCGATTGTTCATTTGATACTAAATACTCATTGGAATTCGCAGGCGGTGCACAATTTTGCTTTGGTAATTCGACGGAATTGGCTTTACATCGTTCACTCGCCACGTGTATTGCTGTGTTTTCTCACGCAAGCGTTAGGAGAGTACATCGGTCAGCTAATAGTCATCGTTGCTTGTTACCGGAAGATATAGTTCAGTTGGTCGCATGCATGCCTATCCGACCTAGCTCAAGTCCCAGCGAGGCGACAATGACTACGGTATTCTAGGTTTCCATGCGCACGTCAATCGCAGCATCTTGACGGGCATAGCTACTGTCCAACCAGTAGAGTAAACAAAACACAAAAGACGTACTGGTGTAGCGATACTGTGAGTTCAGCGGTAGTAACCAGAAGCTCTCGGTGTGTGTTTCTGTCAGCCGCCGCGTGACGAATGAAGAGACTGTTGTACGCGCCGCATCTGACATGTGCACTGCTGAAGCTTGTCGGTGAGCTCAGGAAGAAAAAAGCCGTTCGTTCAGCTGTAAAATTGACATTTTCCGCTCTAATTATCTTGCTCTTGTGTTTCCGCGTTTTTCCCTAACCCTTATATCTCGTTCCGGTTCGTTAAATCGGAATATTATCTCGTTTTTTTCTCTGTCATCTCGTACGTATGAGAATTTTTCGCTCTTTTCGCATAATTTGCCGAGTTTAAATTTATTATAGAAATTCGATTGATCGTAATGCATGTTAATTTGTGTAATTACGTATGCGATGGCTGATAGCTATTGTTATACCTGGCTATTGAATACGCCTCCTCGTTTAAAATGTCATGGCAATTATGATTGGCAGTCGAAACGTTTTCCTGCTATGCACATCGTTGACGTTGGTGCAGCGCGATATGAAACAAAATATTAATCCGCTCTTCACAGTTTCATCGCGTCATAGTGACTGTACGTGCCCGCTTACATCCCCACCATCTCACCACCATCACCATCACCATCACCATCACCATCACCATCACCATCATCATGTTTTACACACGCACACGCGCACATGCACGGACGCGCACACACACAGACACAATCATGTTTACTCATGTAGACGCGCGTGCAGACAGGCACACGCTCCCTCGCGCTAACATCAACGAATATTTATCTCGTAATGCAAATCGAGAGAGACGTTAGCATAAGCGTTATCGAAAAAGCTACTCGTGCTTCAACATTCACGTGTCCCAGACGAAAGATGCTACACAAACAGCTTATATGTCTAGTTCTCGTGGCGCACCACGACTGGCTTTGGAGAGACGAGACTTCAGGAGAAAACGCTTCTTGCAGCGCGCAGGAGAGCACGACAACGCCAATCCCGATGGGAAGCGCTGGATTATCGATTAGATCTGTCAGATCGAGTCGGTTAAGTCATGCATATCCGGCAATAGAATTACGAAGCTTTTCCCTCGGCTGTGCCGAAACCATGCATTAAATATGTTAATCGTTTCATTCATGCACCGCAATTAGGTTCACCACGCGCGGATGAAACGTTCAACTTTTGTCACTGCCTGCTTTTATCGCAATGCAAGAAAGGATAGTGGATACGCGCACACGTCCGAACACACGCACGCACACACGCACGCACACGCACGCACACACACACACACACACACACACACACACACACACACACACACACGCACACGCACACGCACGCACACTCGCTCACCGGACGTGTTGCCGCATAGGCGATTTGCAATCCAGACAAGTACAAGGATTTATTAGTTAGATTTACCACTAATTAACTTATGTTTACTGAACATGCATGCGCAGCGATGAATTAATTAGTTGCATTTGCTGAGAAACTACTTTGCGACGGATCTGGACACTATGAGTGTTAGTGTGTGTGTTGCCGGACATTATACCTGTTCTACCTACACAGTGAGTGTTTACCTACTTAAAAATTCATGTTACTTTTCTTCAATCACTTGAAGCTAATTTAAGTACGAACGCTACATGTTTACATATTGAAATACGTTGATATCATCCCAAGTCTTTAACAAATAATTATTATTGCCTCATTAAGTGCTGGTTGTTTTGCCGGTAACAACAGATAAATATATTATAGGCCCAGGGGCAAGTTCCAAAAGGCCCCCATCGAAGGCCTCATGGTTAACACATGAATTGCGTCACGGTTTTAAAAGTTTGGCTTTCTCATAAATTATCAAGTTTATGGCGTAGTTCTGTGTTTTATTTATGTTATATTTCTAGACATGTCGATGCAACGCGAATTTTTCAAACAAATGCGAAATAAGCGTTTATCAAATAAACCATTCCACATTTTCAATACACGTACTTCTTTTTTATATATTCTAAATTATTACTCCATATAATATGTCGACCACGTGAACGGAGTGGGCACCTATTGTCGAGCAGCGGGAACATAGCGATTGCATAGTAACTGTGGAACTGCAAAATATGGGGAACATACTAACTACATTATAACTGTGGAACTGCAGAATATGGGGACCATACTAACTACATTATAACTGTGGAACTGCAGAATATGGGGACCATACTAACTACATTATAACTGTGGAACTGCAGAATATGGGGAACATACTAACTACATAGTAACTGTAGAACTGCAGAATATGGGGAACATACTAACTACATAGTAACTATGGAACTGATAGATACATGGCCGGTAATCGTGTAGGCAGCAAAAGTGGACGGAATCTCGCAGTAGTATTTCGCACCGTGAGTCTGTGAAGCCGTAACCGAGTTATTGCGTGCTGTGCTGTAACGAACCGCGCTTTTGTTTACCCGCAGACACGTGCCAGAGTCCGCACGCCCGCCGACTGCTGAGGACCCTGCTAGCGGATTACGAACCGCTGGAGAGACCCGTGGCCAATGAGTCGGACACGGTGGTCGTGAACTTCGGTCTAACCATGCAGCAGGTCATCGATGTGGTGAGTGAGCATGACGAGGTGCTGTGCATGCATTAGTAAAATGTGAATCAAGATAGGCAGAGGACGAGGAAGGGGAGGAAGGTGGAATGGGGGAGGAGGACGAGAAGGAGGAGGATTGAGGAAGAAGAGAAAGAAGAAGAAGAGGATGGGGAGGAGGGGAAAGAGGAGGAAGAGGAGGGGAAGGAGGAGGAGGAGGAGGAGGAGGAGGAGGAAGAAGAAGTGGAGAGTGGAAAAGGAGGCTGGGGGTGGAGAGGTGCTAGGAGGAGAGTGTGTAGAATACGAAAATTAATAAGAAAGCGATATTAAATGCCCGTTGTCAGGTCTCCCCACACAGTAACTATCGTGCACCTCAGCCACTATACATGCCGGCGGAGAGTAGATTGAAGCAGAATTAAGTATATTGTTGTTGGTATATATATATATATATAGTTTTTCGACTAGTCCAGATGTTACGGATAATTTGAACAGAAAGAGCGGCTTGGAATTGTAATCGTAAACCAAACCGTTTCTATTAGTGCTATATAACCGTAAGTATTTCTAAGAAAAAGTTTATCACCGGTTTACAGTAAGTTGGGAGATATAATTCCATGACTCGAAAAACGCAGTGCAGCTCGTTTTCAAACTCATCGTTAGACGCTAGAGCATATATAAATGGATTTTCGAAGGTAACGGAACGTGGAACGAAAGCCTTGAGTGGGTGTGTGATGGTGGATGTAGCAGAACGCTCGCGCGCGCGTGTGTGCGTGTGCGTGCGTGTGAGACAGAGAGAGGAGTAGAGAGTGCGAACGAGCGCAACTGCTGACAGACAGAGAGAGCTGCTTTTCGTGAGACCGATTTTATCTGCTTCATATCAAACGGTATACACAGCTTTACGTCCATTATTAATGACGTAGATTATATCGTTAATTAATCTTGTTTTACTCGGATAAAACGTGCAGCGAAACAACTTAATTGCGTATTTCCCTGATAGTTCGTGTTAATCCGCAGAGTAATTCGCATAATATTGTAATACGCATGGAGCTATTTTATTCTAAAAGCCGCGTCTCTACAATCACTGTAATGCACTGTGGGCCCCTACATAGCACCTGTGCGTCTGTGCGTGAGTGAGTGCGTACGTGCGTGAGTTTGTGCGTGTGCGTTTCGGGGGGGGAGGCGTTTTGCGGTGATGTCCTCACATACATGCGTGAGTGCGTTGGTTGTGTGAGTGGGTGCGTGCGTGCATGCGTGCGTGCGTGTGCGCGTGTGTGTAACTTTGTGACGATGTTCACTACGTCGTCTAGTGAGGGTATCGTTTAGCCATGCGTCGTTAAACGCGTAACAGCTATTAAATAATTGCACCATAGTTGAGGTAAATGACGCGAAAAGGAAATGAAACAAACGATCTATACTCGTAAATTATCACTGCTCTCGTACATTTGTATATATGTCGGTCCGCGGAGTATTTGCGCTTGCGCATCAGTGTTGATAAACCCGTGATAGAATAATATGCACCTAATGTCATACGAAGGGACGCTCAAGCATAGTGTAACGAAGGAAGACAAGTTTGGATATTGAGCGCCAATGTTGATGCCTGCCGTATTATTAGTTGAAAGTGCGTTATTTTCATACATTTATATTTTATAGCCACCAGTCATCATATGAATAGATTAATTATCTACCGTGATGCGTATGATACGAGATTTCTTTCAGCTCATGCACCTGCTAGATAGACAGTCTTCACCGGTCGACAATTTTTAGCTGTCCACCATCAACACGCAAATCAAAGCAATCATGCAGCTGCTCAAACGCATGTGTAGTCGTTGGACAACCGAATTATAGCCGGCCATTGGTAATTTTTCACGTTAGGGCTGTCTGGTAAGAAAAGAACATACGAGCATATTTCAAGGGCCAGTCGGTAAATGATAAAGTGTTGCGGTGATTGGTGCCTCAGAGCGAAAGCTGTTAGTGGGATTTCACTGCTCGATATATGTAATTACAGTGACACGCGCCTTGGTGTGCGAATATTACCACGCGAAACGCCTAAACAAATAAAACACATTTCAATGGTCTGTATCTGAGTATGTGTAGTCGCAGTCATGAACAGCTTTTAAGGCTTATATGAAAATGTTTCTTTCGCGTAACTGCTAGCGCCACTTGTGCGACGCATCCACTTCTTATTTTCCAGCGAAAATGTAAATGCAAAATCCGAGTTACCCGAGACTAGTAATGATTTGCAGCGCAAGCTCACACACGATTTATCATCGCAGCTCATTTATCCTGGCTGATTAGCGGCCGTTTTTGAATTTGTATGTCAATATAGACTACGAAATAGGAAAAGTCATTTTCGCTCATAGTTATCAGTATGAATCAACCGCCAGACGGCATACGCCACAAAGTTGACACATGGAATACATATACTAGTCGGTTTGCCGGCCCTATATGTCCTATATGGGACCCTGCAATGTTAATTACTCTAAACTTTTTTCATGGAAATGTGTTCTATATAGTTAGAAGAGCTGATTTAGCTTGGTTGCTACCTGTGCATCGTTGAGCATTTCTTGGAATTCAAGATGGCCGCCGCCGTTCATCTTCGATTTTGGTCAATTTACAATTTGTGATCTCGATGCCCTAGAGTGTCATGCAATACCTCTTTTTAGGGGGTTTCGAGGGCAGGGAATCCATTTCTGGAGTTATTTTTTGGATATGGGGTCAAGGTCAAGGTCAAAATGAAGGTCAACGGTCAAAATAAGACACTTTAATGTAAATTCACTGTTCATAGATAGTAGATAGGCATATTTCAACGAAAAAATAGCAAACAGCTATGACTCCTCATCCTCATTACTCCTCAATCCGCATCATCATTGTCATTGTCATTGTCGTCATCTACACCTAGCTCCTCTTCATTGTCTTCGGTGTCCATCTGATTTTTCGTGAATTGACTACAACAATGACTACATGCAGCTGCAGGTTGACGTCAGTCGGTGGCAGTTTCTTCAGTTGTTACGGCTTCTTATGGCTGCGGTAGAGGCGAGTACGTGCATCATTCATTGTCGTACAACTCTTCTGTCCGTAGAGAGGGAAGAAGAAGCTGTCTGCTGTCGCTTTGAGTTAAGCATGGGTCACGCCAAG